CAAATTTGTTGGTCACAAATTATTGAATTTTAAGGTCGCATTTTAATAGCTAGTCACAATAAATCAAATATTTGGTCACATGCACCAAACACCCCACCCCTAATCTCGATCCACCACGAATACTTGGTCACAGGTCAACCAAACCCCCTTCAACAACACCACTGCCAACAAAAATATCACAACCAACATTTCCATCACCACCACCGCTACTGTTGTCAACATTTTTACAACACCACCATTGCCCCTCCCCGCCTCGCCCCGCCGCACCGCACCAGCAACACCACCACACATACCACCAGTCACGGTCACCACCATCGCCAAAACAACATCACACACCACCACGCACCACCCACTACACACCACCACAGCCACCACCACAAAAATTGCCACCACACAAAATACCACAACTACCATACAAAAACACCACCCAAATCTCTAATACACCATCGGTGTAGCTAGAACCACCACCATTAAGCTAACACCAACGTCGCCAAAAACGCTACCACCTCACTATAACGAGTGACCAGAATCTCCATCTCAAACAAACCGCTACTGATTCACTACCACCACCACCAACAAACCACCATTTTCAACTACAAAACCGCCACTTCCATTGCCAAAATTCAATAAACCCACCCCAACCTCCAAATCCACCACCACCGCCACACAAAACACCGCCCAAACCTCACTACAATAGTAGGGATTCTCTCAGATTTTCCAAATTCCAATTCCCAAATTAACTACACAAAATAACACTTGTAAATCCAATAGTAGGCGTTAAAGAGGAGTATTAGGGCAATGGAGTGGAAGAGGAAGAAGAGGAAGTAGAGTTGTGTGATCTCGTTTCGGGCCGAGTCGCTTTGAGAAAGATTCTGTTGAGGATTAGCTCTTCTTCTTTCAGCCATTGCTTGAGGAGGAGCTTGTGAGATGGGGTCTCTGCTATTTGGTGAAGCGAGTGCAGAGGCTTCGACTCCATTATTAACAACGTCAATTTCTTGTTTTCATCTTCACTGGCTATGAATATGGAGATTTATTGAGAGAGAGAGAGAGAGAGAGAGAGAGAGAGAGAGAAGAATGAAAAATAATTAGGGTTTTGGTGAATGAAGTTAATTTAATTTCAAGATATTAAAAAGTATACCTGATTTTTGAAATTTTTTTATCAAATCTAATTTTTGAAATGTCATCTTGAAATACTTGAATTTGTGTAATTTTCTCTATTAAAAATATATGTACAACCCATCTAATATACAGAACCCTGCATTCTTCAGTCGTATGCCTGTATCCGTCTATGAGCAATTCTCTCAAGAATCTAAGGGTCCATTTGATTGCAAAAGGTGGAAAAAAGGTAAAAAGAAAATGTTTTACAGGGAATTGATTTGTTTAGAAATTATTTTACTATGGATTATAATTAATTGTGTTTGATT